TGTTGTATATAAAGAAGTATTGTAAATTCTAATTTCAAATAAAGCTTTGTTTGATTAAATGCTTTTTTATTTCATGCATCACAGCTTTTGTCTACTTACTGAATAATTTGCTAAAAAAAAAATACTGATCTATACATTTCAAATCTAAATTTTCACCGTGTAACGCCGGGTAACTCTGAGGCCGTAGATGAATTATAAGCTTGGTGGTCGGTAGTTTTGACTAAATGCTTTCCCAATAGTCTATCGCTTTGTGCGAAATCCAGCAAAAAAGCAGTGTTCACTTTGACTTTGTATCTATTTATTTAAAGAATGGTTTTGAAAGGTCTGCAATAGTTTAGTCATAGCGAAGAACTAAGGACAAGTTATAATTTATTGAATTACTTTGTTAATAACGTTGATGATAATGTTAACTTTTATAATTTATTGTACGTTTTATAACCTACCTCTAAAATTACAAGTTTATGTTCACACAAAAGTATATCTATCTATCTGAAAACCATGACTAGAATGTAATTTGTTTTCACTTAAATATTCTAATCAGAACTTCCATATAATGTGAAAACAGTATATGATATATAATAAATACAGCCACATCTATAAAACAGAAATGCAAACAGAAAATCCACCCAGTTTGTTTTGATGATAATACATTATGTGATTTATAATGTTTAAAGTTTGTTGATGTGTATATATATATATATGTAATATTTTAATCCATGAAAATTGCAGAATGCGAATCTTGTTTTAAAAGTATTTGCTATGTAACTGACTGCATGAATCTTTCTTCTTACATTAACCACATAAAAACATACCGGATAATTGTTTATTTGTAATTAAGCACAAAGCTACACAATGCTCTGCCCGCCACGGGTATCGAAACCCGGATTCTAGCGTTGTAAGTCAATACCGGATAACAGTTGATGTTCGAAAGTTATCTTGTGAGTTGTTTGTTTCAGATATACACTCAAAGCAAAACGTGGCCTACCTACCCCTAACTTTTCCTAAGTATGAACTGATAGACTAGCACTCACCACTAACTCTTGGGCTACTCAAGTCGAATAGTGGGATTTGATCACTACTCTTATAACACACACATGGCCCCAAAGTGCGGAGAATGATTTTATTTTTTTTCAGTAACGGGACGTGCACCATAAACATCGTTTCGTATTCCGACATGTTGCCCACAAAGCCACACCCAACCCACTTCCGAGTAGAAGAGTAAACACAGTTTTGATACAAAGTTGAAAATGAAATTAGAATAAAGATGTTGTCTAAACATCCAGTATTCTATCTTTCTGGAGAAAAGAACAATGGCAGGAAGATAAGAAAAATTGATAACTGAAACTTAAATAATAAAATTAAAATCATACATTGTTTTGAACTCACAAAGTAATCAATAAAGATAGGTTTAAAACGGAACATTCTAATTGCACTCGAATTATCTCGTTACCTTGCTCGTATAACGTAGTACCTTAATATGAAACATCCCTGAAATTTAAGAAAATCCGTATTTATATATATTAACATAAAATACACGCGCTCCGCTGCGGAGTTCAAAGGCCCCCTCATGATTCATAGAGGCCCCAAGGTACCGATAAAGCTCCTTCATTATCCCCAATTCCTTCTATAGCTAATGGTACCTGAACATGTGGCCCGCGTTTGGTCCCGCTAGTTTGTGGGTGGGGGGTATGAACACAGTTTTAAACAAGACGTACCCGGGATTCCAAAGGGGGTTAGGAATACATGCCTGGGTAACCATTCTGGTTCTTTTTAGCGACATAGATAAGGACACCCAACAAATTTGTTCTGTGGCAGAAGTTCGTGGCCTAAAACCAAAAAAAAAAAACCTCATACAGCGTGAATTAATATAGAATATCGTTAAATGACCTATAAAACCTTAGTTTAAATACAACATTACAATATAAATTGTCATACGCCTAACCTAATTAACTTCGATAGATAAACAGACACGTAACTCCCCGACTGTGACCGACTAGCCGAATAGCAAAATTCCTTTGCTAATCGACTACAAACACTGAATATATAAGCATCGTTTACTAAATTCTCCGAATTCTCATTCACTACTCAAATGAATACTTCGCTGACTGACTGGCACTCAATGAACTGAAAACTAAATTCAATGCTTCACTGATTATCGTATTTATGATGTATCCTTGTTTCCAGTTATTTCGCAATATTCCTCAATCATTAACATTTGTGAACATTCTAGGTTCTGTAGGACTACTTTTATAACTTTTTAAATTTTGCGCCATGATCATGTTAGCGGCTTTCTCTAGCAATTAATTAAATTAAAATATAGCTTACAATGGTTATACACCGTAATGTGTATTTTATACAAACTCTTCTTGGTAATGTGCTTATAATATGCCTCATACTAACTAAATTAAATCCCCTGTTCTATAAATAATTAACTGTGTAAGTAATATCTTTTATATGAAATGATGTATCATGTACATATAAATATCTAATTATAATGCCCCCAGTGGCGCAGCGGTATGTCTGTGGATTTACAACGATAGAATCCGGGTTTCGATACCCATGGTGGGCAGAGCACAAATAGCCCATTGTGTAGCTTTGTGCTTAATTAAAAACAAACAAACAATCTAATTATAGAAAATCATTACTCCATCTTGTAAAATAATGTACTTATATACATTTGAGTGTGTGTATATATATATCCTAGTTCCACAAGTGGATTGTTAGACAAGTAATGTTTTTTCATCGGCCCTCAATTCAAATATTATTATAATTAGATGCACTTCCGCAGTTTCCCCGAAAGTGTTCCGTTTCAAGAGTAAATAAGACCAAAATTAAAAGTGACGAATATTTTTTTTATTTCTTGCTTTTGAAGTTCATATGCCATTCTGTGCTGTAACCTTCAGAGTGCATAACTCTTCTCGTGATTCATGGCATGCGTACATTTTACTGACATCACGACAGTTAAGCGACTCTTATATGACGTCATTTTAGTGTCTACTGACTGATTGATAGACAACACACTATTGTATAGTGGTGCGCGTGGTTAAAACAGGTGAAATAAAGTTTTTCATGGCGAAACTAGTGCTGCCGACAATTCGAAGAAACATAGACCTATGCCTACGGTAGAAATGTTTGGAGATCTTTCAATTATTTGAGTAGTCTTATTTTTTATTATCCACATGTTCCTAAAATAAATATAAAGTGAAGCCAAACAGAAGTTGAAAAACCAACAGTGTAATACATGAAAAAACATACACTGTAGGCCTAATATTAGTAGAACCATTACTAATGGCATTAGTAACCATCGAGTCTACTGAGTATAGATATATTTTTTTCATTTGAAACATCTTAAGATCTCTAACAGGGAATTGAAACTGGGTAAGCTACAAAAAGGTAAAATAACTGTTTTTATTAAAGTATTTTGACCGAACGTTAGATAATCTATATAAATAATACACATGTGTTTGTCTGTCCGGAACTTTTCTCACAAATTTCTCGATCAAACTCTACAAATCTCATATCGTTAGAAAGGCCTTTGTCCGAGGAGTCAGGATTGCATATTGGCTATTCAATTCAAAATCACCTTACCTGTTTTTGCTTAGTCAAACTTTTCAATGCAACAAGAATTGTACACGATGGCACAATGTTCTTATCATCACGAGATGACAGGCGTCGATTTCAATTTTACTTTTTTATTTGCAAAATATGTCACACAAACAACACTTAACCCGCGTGTAATTTCCTCAAAAGAATGAAAATTACACTAAATACAGTTTCTATGGGCTTTCTCGACTTATTTAGGTTCAAAATACGCATGCGCAGTTCGTTCAAATCTATATGTTTATCAATTTGTGAACACGTATTCAGACGCTTCCGCGTACAGCTAAGTTTGCCTTCATTACAACTACATACTTACTTTACTTTGCAATAATTTAGCTTCGGTTCGTTTCTTAGATTGCTATTAACATCTTTTAGCTACTTTTTTGTTTACTTCGGGTTTTATTCTTTGTTTTTGTGAGATTATTTGTTTAACTCGTAAAACTGTGTCATACACTGAACGCTCATAACTGTACGCTACTCTGTACACTGTTATAAATACCATTACTATATTGTCTACTTTACGAGTAGTTTTATTTTTATCAAAGTCGCATAAGTATAGTTTTATTCAATAAAGTTATGTCTGCGTGAGTTTATTTCTGACCGAGTATTTTTTTTTCCAAATAGACCAGGAACTATCGATCTAATACATAATGCCTACAACAAAGAGTGGCTTAAATGGCGTGCGTGAAAATGACAGAATAAGGAAAATTCAACGCATGAAAACTACCACAAATGCTTTGCGGGTCGCGACTAGTCAGTTAATGATTTTGTACACTCAGTAATGTAAGATCATGAGTGAATTAAAAACAGGAAAGACAAAGAAGCCCACATTTCTTACAGTAGTTAAGCCTAAGAATGTCAATGGCAGCATTCTGCAGATATACAAAGCCACGCTTAGAAACGACGATAATGTCAGCAAAACGTTGTTACAGTAATGTTCAAGCGCTGGTAGAAAAACATTAACTGAGTAACTTTTTTTTATTGTTTTTTACTGAGATCAGGTTGACAAACAATATCCGTTTTTTTAATGACGTACTTACATAAATGTCTCAGGATGTATTTGTATATATATTCTTGTTAAATCATGTGCTATACTACACCTTATAATTCATATGTAATGTTCCTTCTTACTGGATAATGTGCTGTTATGAACGTGTTAATGTATACGCAATATCCCATGTTGTTGGATAATGTACTGTTTCATACATCTTACTGTATATGTAATATCCCATGTTGTTGAAGAGTATACTGTTTTACTTCTATTTTTGTGTATGTAATATCCCCTTTTGATCGATAATGACCTGTTCTGTACCTCCTACTGTATATGTAATATCACATCATGTTGGATAATGTACTGTTTAATACCTTTTACCATTGGATGGCACTCGTTCTGTAGTTTTGAGATCAAAGGTTTCACATAAGAGGTTCAAGCCGTTTTAGATAATTTCCCATTCACCTTGGCAGGTCTTGTGACCATATTTATTGATAACACAGCTAATAATACAAACGTTGGCCTTCTGGGAGTAGTTATAGTTCGCGAGTACAGACCGCTGAATACTTGAACAACCTCGTAGCCTGTGAAAAACGACCTTTTGCAGGTTTGTTTAACGCTTGCGAACTGAACGTTACAAGCACCTTGGGTGAAGCAACAACCTGTTCCAGACAATGTCATCTGAAAAGAAAAAGGATGAGACATCGAAGAGTTGTGAGTCTTCTATAATAATAATATTTAGGTTACTCGTATGTATGCCAAACAGTGTTGTTGCATAATTATATCGCAGCGTTCGTCTTTGTGGTATTTGATTGATAGTTGCCCAAAAGGCAGGAAGTGAGAGTATCGTTAGAATAATAACACAAATGTATTCCTTGAAATAAATTATTTCTTGTATTTTCTTGTCGACTGAGCATGTAACAACCGAAGAACTCCTTGCTATATTAAGTATTCACGAACTTACTAAAATAATCCTGTTTACTGTTATTATGGGATATCCTTGTTTAGTAGTGAACTGCAATATATTTTAGAATCATAATTTATTTACATTAGAGACTGGATGTTGTCGTAGTTGTAGTTCTCTTATTATTTTTTGACATTAGGTGGCTGGTTGGTGTCTTAGTCAGCTGTGTCTGATTATTGTGGATTTTGATTAGCTGTTTCTGATAATTTATTCATAATTGGAGTTAATTGTTGTCTTGGTCGGTTGCCTCTGAACTAGCTTCTTTTGTTGTCTTGATCAGCTGTTTCTGTTCATTTGTTCACACCGGGAGCTGGATGCTGTTGTTGTTTTGATTAGGCGCTTCTGGTAATTCTGTTCACATCAGATGCTGTTTTAGTCAGCTGCAGTTCTCACTTGTTTCTTCATATTGATATTCATACTGAAATGAGGTTGCTGTCAAATATCGTATATTATTCTGTTTCATTTTCTAGCTTACTAACATGTCTTAAACTGAAATTTACCAAGAGTAAAAATATGAGTAAAAACATAAGATTCAATAAAGTGGTATAAATTTGAATTTAAGTGTCTCATAGCAATGATCTTTCTTCTAACGTTTTAATCCTTCAAAGATATTTATTCTGTATACCGAAATATTTATGGAAACTGCAGTAAAGATTAAAGTAGATTATTAAATTAATATATAAAATGTTCATGTTAAAACGTGTTTCCTGTAGAAATAATACGTATGAATTTAATGATATTACAGGGAGATTGTTTGTTTTTAATTATGCACAAAGTTACACAAAGGCTATCTGTGCTCTGCCCACCACGGGTATCGAAACCCGGTTTCTAGTGTTGTAAGTCCGCAGACACACCGCTGTGTCACTGGGGGCTACAGGGAGATAACTTTGTTTGTTTGTTTGTTTGAAGTTAAGCACAAAGCTATACAATGGGCTATCTGTGCTCTGCCCACCACGGGTATCGAAACCCGGTTTCTAGTGTTGTAAGTCCGCAGACATACCTCTGTGCCACTGGGGGCTACAGAGAGACAACTGATGCTGGATAATTTGTACAAGAACAAGGTCTAAAAAATTATTTTTGCTTATTTGTCGTTAAGCACAAAACTACGTAATTGGCTATCTGAGATATTCTCACTTCGGGTATCGAAACCCGATATTTACTGTTATAAGCTCACAAACTATCCGCTGAACTAGTGAAGAGAAATTTGTTATTTATATCAAGTGAGCTGTTAATCAACTTTTTTATTTTATTTTATGAGAACCAAACTAGAATATATATACATTAATTTAATCGATTTTTTTTGTCATAAGTACACTTATTATATGGCAACTTTGTGGGATGATTGAAAAGGAGTTTCGATTTTTATTCATAATATATTAGTTTCAATAAAAAAAAACCAGAGAACAGTTTTATGTCCTACTTCATATACAGTGGTGTAGTGCTAAGTAAAGAAGTGCCGGGACGCAAAATCTACTACATAACCGCGTAAGGTGGAATTCGTTCGAAATAGTGGCGGTACGGCTTTCCGGCAAAAAAAATAAAAAAATACAGATACGCCGTACCCACGTATTCCCACCTCACTACAGCTTTGTTCATAAACCTTTAAATATTATCAAATACTGTTTTTTTAAATAAAATATTCTCAAGAGACATTTCAACATTATTCACTAGATATACTTACCTTCAGAGTGCATAATTAATGTTTGATAATGATTTTTTCGCCAGCTCCTAAGATTTCAGGCCCGGCATGGCCAGGTGGTTAGGGCGTTTGACACGCAATCTGAGGGTCGCGGGTTCGAATCCCTATCCCATCAATCATGCTCGCCCTCCCAGCCGTGGGGACGTTAAAATGTGACGGTCAATCCCACTATTCGTTGGTAAAAGAGTGGCCCAAGAGTTGATGGTGGGTGGTGATGACTAGCTGCCTTCCCTCTAGTCTTCCACTACTAAATTAGGGATGGCTAGCGTACATAGCCCTCGTGTAGTGTTGCGCGAAATTCACAACAAATCAAACCCAACTAAAATATTGATTTCTTTTAAAGTTTCGCGTACTGTTTCATTTTTCACGTGGAAAATATTTGCTTTTTAACAAATAATAATATCGTCTATTGGGTTAATCTAAAATCTAGATACTCCACTCGTATAAGATATCCTATGGATCATCTCTAAGTTCACAGACTTACAAGGCTAAGGTCTGTGGTTCGATTCCCTGCAGTACACAAGGTACAAGTAGCCCATTGTGAAGCTTTGCACACACACACACACACACAAATTACATAACGGTAGTGCCTTACAGGCGTTAAACACAGAACAAACAAAGGTAAAGCACAAGAAGGTTCATATTACACCCTGTAGATGCTTATCATAATAATGGTCTCAGATGACTGTCGGTTGAAACACGTATATTTATTCAATCGAACATAAATACAGGTTTCGTTATCTAATATATAGTAGCTGTTACTTGTTATTTACGGCATTGAACAAATTTTGAATAAGAAAGTAGTTTCTGAGTGTTTAGGTTCTTTACTACCGCCTGTAAAGTAGCCAAAACTTTGATTTCATCTCTAAAATAAAATTATGTTACAACTTTATGCAAAGAATTAGAATTCAATTTCCAAACACATAAACCGTCAGTTAACGAGATGTGTAAACACGTCAATACAAACAAAGACAGTATCATAGAGAAACACCCTACAGATTTATCAGTTTTTGGTTTGCAATATGTAAAATCCAATGGTATGAATCCCGAAATGAATTTGGATTCCCAAACTACTTTAAAACACCGTCCAAATACAGATTTACTGCTAGTGCTAGAAAAGCAACATCTACAGATTCGTCAATTCTAAATCGGCAGTGGTCTGAAATACATTAAGGAACATTTGAGTGTGCGTGTTTTTCTGTGTCCACTGAGGGGACGATAACCCCTGATTTTAGCATTATAAGTCCGTGGACTTACCACTGTCCCGCCGGGGAAAATGAACATTTCAAGAAATATTGCAATATTATCAAAGAAAGAACAGGTATTGGTTCGTTCGTTGTCGTCGGTAACTCCATTGAGTGTGAGTATAAACAGAAAAGTAAAGGCTGAATATAAAACGACAGAAGTTTTGTTTTTAGTAAACTTTAGACAAGTCTTCCTATTGATAAAATAAAAAGTCGTACATCAACAATTTCATGATTGTTTAACAGTTCTGGTAAATTAGTGCTTTGCGTTAATAAAAGTACATGTTTCAGTGATAATGTTACCCTTAAAAATTATCACTGTTTTACAATAAACAAATTCTTACGAGCTATGTATTTTTGACTTAACAACATATTTGTACAGTTGGGCCAACCCGGCTTCTAATAAATTCAGCGGATACCTGTGTTAGGTAAATTCAGCTCGAAAGTTGCAAATTTATATATATCCGAATATTTTTATCGAACATTACAAAAATTACAAAGCTTTGCACACTAGTCGTGCGTATAGATATATTGATGGCATCCTTGTACACAATTCTCAAGGTTTTTCTTGACATTGACAAACAGCTCTTTCAACAATAACAAAGTACAGTCCGTGGATTTGGATATCAACTTCGTTAATCAAACAATTTAATTTTGAAGCTATAAACTTTCCATTTCCGAATACAAATATTACAACAAAAAACTATATATATATTCAGTATCTACTATTCACAGCTGTTTATATATATATTAGAATTTGTTTAACCTTACAAAATTCCGTTGGAAGTTTGTTTTTTGTTTT